ATGATCACACTTTCTTACGCTCATACCAAAGGTTCCAAAAGTTGAATCTTGGCTTGAAATCTGACCAGTTGCCATTATAATTGTGCAAGAACCTTCACAGTGTAGTGACTGAGAGAGATTGAAGACAGTGATTGTGTGATATGTTGCTGCAACAGTGAACTGTTTCCAATGAATGGTTTCTGTTGTGAATACTGGATGATGTAGTAGCAGATACCCTCCCAAATTGAGTGAGCCTCTTTGCTGGTTGACAGCATGCATACATTACTTACCCGTTCCTCCAATACAATGTTTGCCGTTTTGGACAGAAAGTTACATTAGTGACTTGAACAGAGTTTTGGTACTTGTGGTTGGCCCACAGGGAGTGTGGACAACTGTAACTCTCCTTTCTGAACTCCCAAACTTGCACTATGACTGCTGTCAGGACTAAAACCCTGCATTTAGGAGCTATGGTTCATTAATGGGACCGAACCTCCAATTACACTATGAGGTTGTGCTGGCAGTCACTGCAGTATAGAACTATTATTTAGTGCATTCAGCGTCTGGGTTTCAAACGAGTTGTTTCAACCAGTACTTCTAGAGTATCGGTGTTTGTCTGTAGTGGCGCCTGCCAGTGGAAAAAAATAGAATTTTAGCTTCATTACCTCAACTCAAATAAATGCCCCACTTCTGCAGGCGCAATCCAGTTTATACGTAGTGACAAAGGGTGAGAGGGGTGTTATATAGCACTTGAAGAGCTGAGGGTTGACTGGGGAGCTGAGCCAGACCAGAGTTCAGTGATGTAATCCATTATCAAACCAAGCTCACCATCTATGCAGTCTGAAAGAGTCCAGTCAGTCGAGCTTTCCCTACACCAGTATCACTCCTGCCACGAACAGAGGTGTATGTAGTTTGTCCCCTTCTCCAACCCCTCAGATGTGGGTGAGTTCATGAACACCATGGAGGATCCCTCCAGTACCCCTATCATTTGTAAGTCTTAAATAGAACTGTACTGCGAGTTGTTGAAGGGTTGTTCAAGGAGGCGTGACATGGTAGGATACTTCCTAAGAGGGATATGCTCAACTGAGAATCCCCTACCATCCACTGAGGTAGAGCTATGTGGAGCTAAATCATTTAGACTCCAGCTGCCTCTATGCCGACGTCCTGCTCAGCGAGAAGAATCTAGTACACAACCACCACCATCGTTTTCTTACTAAGAGTGAGTGCTGGCCAGAGATGGTAGCAGGCTCTCCTACGTCCTGCCTCCATTCGACACTTAATATCACACTGTATGCGCGCAGGGGATGGAGACTGTGTGTTTGTAGGAAGTGACTGCCCTTCCACTGTAAAATTCTCTTACTGACTGAGCCACTTGCTCTCTGTTGCAGTGACTTTGAAACCAGCCACAGAACTGAAGCCAGTGAACTCAGGGTGCTACAGACTAACACAGAAGGCTTCTGTCTGATGCTGGGACACCACCGAAGGTCCGACAGATAGAGGAGGCAATGTGTGATAAAAAGCAAAACCACTTGTCACCACACATAATAACAGGTAGAAAGCATACCTGGACGCACAGGTGCATCTCCACTGCTCCAAGCCAACCAAGTCTCCACACCACATCATAATTCCACCCTCAACTTTCAGTCAGCCCATCTTATGAGTGTTGTACGGTAGTATCTACACAATGCTATGGAGTCAGAGGTCATCAGAAAAGTCATTGTGAACATTCACTGACAGTGGAGATGGATACACACCTCAACCCAACATAGAGCCAAGTGTGGCTCAAAGAGGGAGGAAAAGTACTGCACACCAGTGAATGAAGTGATACTTCAGGAGCAACGAAGGCAAATGTGGACTAACATGTGCCTTGGGACAAGGCCACAATATGCAAAAATCACACTCCACTGTTACTGCCACTATGATGGACTATAACTCCATTAGAAGTCATTTGCCAACAGAATAGAGTCCACCTGGTTTCTTGAGATATTCCAATCACAAGGCGCTCTATCGCCATGAGCACGCAGGACTGAGGTGAAAACCAAGACAACGCTTGGCAGAAGGATGCGAGTGCTTAAATCGCACTCATAACGAGAGTGTGTCCCAATATCTCACTGTGGCCCCAATTCCAACTGATCAGTGGAGGATAAAACTCCCCATAAACACCACGAACAGTAGCAGACATCTCCATGGCGCAACCGACAAACGCGATGGTTGGAAGACACTACGGAGTGTAAAGGACTAGCCTCCCTCGACAGTGCCCACGCGTCAATGCCAACAGGCAGCCGAAACGGTGTAAGAGTCGCTGGAAAACCGATGCCAGACTCCAAAGTCGCACTGGAAACAAATTACTCCATCATAGAAGTATACTCTGCATCTCCGAGACGACGACGTCTATAGCAGTCCTCCAGTTGAACGCCACCTAGAAGCAAGACGAGAACATGAACCCCTCCCCTTTTTTGTCTCAGCCCAACGACCTACTGCTGCGTACGCAGAGCAGAAAGGGTGAACAAGATCAGTGCTACAATCCTCACAGACAAAAGTACGGATTCGTTCTGTTGGTTATATTATAGAGAAAACACACCCTGGGACCGACTCTGCCTGCAAAACCCTCTAGCGTGCGTGGGACTGTAGCCACTATGTATGGCCCACATGACTAAGGGCGCTAGCGCACTTATTCAGCAGAGACATGATGTGTGTGTTCATAGTGCGAAAGTGCATCAGAGGGCTGAGTGGAGGGTGAAAGTATGATTAGAAAAAATGATAGTGGAGAGGATGGCTGTTTACATTCACACTGAGTGAGGGTGAGAGGTGGAGATGAGAAGAGAACAGCATTCCGTTTCCACTGGTGAGTAGGAGACAGGATAGGAGGATGGGGAGGGACCGCAGAACCCCACACCTGTGTACTGGTAAGTGGTGAAGACGTTTCATCTGAGGGAGAAGGCAGCCATTTGCTGTGTGAGGATAGCATTTCGTCTTCTTGCGCTCCTCTTCACGTGCTCCCACCTTCACCGTAACGACACACACACGGACGGAGGTCAAGGTCCATAGGTACATACAGTGTGCGTATGTGTCTTCCGGGTCACAGACATACAGCACGAGAGTCCACAGTGGTGTGGTCAGACACAAACTGCTCTGCCGTAGAGGCTGGTTCAGACGAGGGGCCTCAAGAGACGACGACTCACCTGCACACACACACACCATGTACACCACACATGCATGTACACTGTACGCTGACCTCTGCACATACTGACCAGGGCTGAGAGCAGGGAGCAGACACGCGAGGTCATACAATCGATGTTTACTCAGGTACACTTCGCGGTTGCTGCCATGGCTGACTAAGCCGACTGGTCGACGTCACTCGGACGACAGAGACATGCTGTCCAAGAGCATGGATGGTCTCACTTGGATGGGGATACGTAAAGTGTGACGCTGAGTGTTCGATTTTTGCGCGCGCTTTGTTGGCAGGGCAATACCTGTGTCATGTGACTAGCTGACTCGGTTCATTTCTCGTGTCATTGCTGAGACGTTTTTTCTGTGTTTGTGTGGTGGGAGCTATCTGGCACTGGGCAACAGTTGAGTAACGTCCTTTGCACCTGTCGGTACAGTTTGTCGGTACGTTACAGGACCATCGACAGAAGTCGTACTAAGCCCCCACTGCAGCTTGCCAGATTCCTTATGAAAAACGATAATCGTTAGGGCACTATAAACTTGAGCTCTTTCTACCAGTCTCCCAATCTCTAAGAAAAATCACACCCTTCCCTGGACAGTTGTGCTCCCAAGAGTGAGTGGAGTTCGTTCACGAGCACATCTCATGTCGGTGGTGCCGCAGGCAGCTGAACCTGCACAGGATGCAGGGAGGTAAAACGAGTGAGTTAGGCGCCGATGCTAGTGGCCGAAATACCTGCCAGTAGGTCTCCGTCAATTTCCACGTTACCCGACCCCGTCCCTCCACCCACAGCCTCTCCTTCGCACTCCGTCTCCAGTCTGGATGATCCCTTCTCCTCCGTTCAGCTAGCTAGCTGGACCGGGGAAACAGAGAAAGCGTCCTTCGCCAGCCAAAGCCGCGTGCTAACGCTAGCGTTTCCGAATTTGCGCCAGTGAGGAAGGTTATTAGTAGCACCGCGGCAGGAAGACAATAACTACATACGTACGGAGAGCAGAATCTGAAGGGCGGCCCATGTCTACCAGTGTAGAACTGCAGGATATTCGATAGACAGCGAGAAGTAGAGGCAGTAGCTGAGGTTAGCCACTCTCATCTAGAGCTGCTGTGTCCTGATGATGACGTCCAACAGAGCTCTGCCGCGGAGGAGCCAGCGGCGGAGGGAGAAAGGGCAGGGACTGACCCAGACTCGTTCTCTCTGGTGGAGGCGGCGCAGTACGGGAACCTGGAGAGGTAAGTTGGGGTGGTGACTGGTGTGAGGATGGGGAGAGAGTGTTTGTGTGTACGTTGTAGAAGCAGACACCTGTGGAGGTGTGTGGGGAAGATGTCACGAAGGGGAATAACGAGAACATCACTGTCCTCCACTGGGCAGCCATTAACAACCGCATCGCTGTTGCCTCCTACCTCATTCAGGTGAGGTCTCTTTACTCAGCCTTCAAAGCACATATGTACCCGCACCTACAGAAGGGAGCAAACCCCAATGTGGCAGGTGGAGAGCTGTCCTCTACTCCCATCCACTGGGCCACCAGACAAGGCCATCTCCCCATGGTCATTCTTCTTCTCCGCTACGGAGCCAACCCTGAGACCCTGGATGCTGAGGGTAAGTCTTCCCTCTGGGGCTGAATTCCATTCCTCACCCCCAGGACTCAACTGCCTCCACATTGCTGCACAGTTTGGCTTCACCAACATTGTCGCCTACTACATCACCTGCCACATTCCCATGGTAACAAGAGCTGTGTCTACACCAGTCACTTGTCTGACATTTTCATTTGCAGAGCATTGACGTCAGAGACAGCCGAGGAAGAACTCCGCTCATGTTGGCTGCTGACAGAGCTGCATCCAGGTCCACCCCTTACTCTGCTGTACATGTTATTGGGAATTTCTCTCCCTTTTAAATGTTGGGGGCCATGTCATTTAGCACACAACTGAGTTTTCTGCATGACAGGATTCAAAATGAAAGTGAAAGCTACTGTACACTCTGTTGTCCAGCCCAGACCCAGTGCGCCTGCTGACGTCGCTGGGTGCCGACCTGTATGCTGTTGACCATGCCCACTGCACGGCCCTGCATCACGCGGCGGAGAACCACAACTACCTGGCAGTGAAGCACTTGGTCACTGCTGGTGCTCCTCTCAACCTCAGGAACAAAGAGGTGCGTATTTACTAATAGGAAACCCTCAGCACACTGTCAATTTCGAACACATACACACGCGTGGTACTGCCAATTGATGGCCGCTATGAGTTTTCAATTTACTCTCTTGCTAGTCTAGTAACCTTCTTGAATAATCTTCACCACTATAGTCAACATTACGGTAACCTTTGCTAGTACGTATGTGCCCCGAGGGTTGATGACTTGATGCCACCTTCTCCCTGGTGTGTCTCTCTGACAGGGGAAGACTCCCTATGACGTAGCTATGGAGGCTCAGAACAAGTTTGCCATGGACACCATCGCCATGGGGAGGAGCAAAGCTGAGCCTCAGGGACTCTTAGAACTGGTCACCAGGCAACCAGTGAGCAGTATATATCTTTAGTGGAGGGTGTCATCTCTCATGTGCCTTCCTCCTATAGAGGGTGGTCTGGTGGATCATGCTCTGTGCTCCTACTGTATTTCTGGTTGCCGTGGGATACCTTGGGCAGCTGGCTCCAAACTGGTGGAGCTATCTCCTAGGCAACGCAGCTATTGGCTACTTGATGAGAACTTTCCTCTTGTGAGTTATTTAACCTACTTATATACCCTCCGTACTTTTTACTGCCATCTCTCACAGTCGCTATGTGCCTGTTCTTATGGACACCAATCCCCTAGCATTTGGTCTGGTGATGGGAACAAAACTGTGTGTCTACTACACAGCCATGACATACTTTGTACCTGGAGGAACTCTTACTCACTTCTACTCCCTTCAGGTATGGTATGGTTCCACCCGGACTTTCTCTCCCTCCACAGTGCCATGTCCATTCTGCAGCTGGCACTGGTTGTGTCGTTCTCTCTCTTCTTCATCGTGAGGTACAGTGACCCTGGCAGGATCCACAGAAACACTCCCACTGATGCCAAGAGAGTGAGCCGACGTTTAAACTTGTCTCCGCCATTCTCTCCATCTTCCCCAGACCATAGCTGAGTTGTGTGAGAGAGGCTTGTTCAGTAGCGACTCCTTCTGCTCCACATGTCTCGTGAGAAGACCACTTCGCTCCAAACACTGCGCTGCCTGCCAGCACTGCGTTGCCAGGTAACTGGTCTCCCTGGTAACAGACATCATCTCCAGGACTCTGGTATATACCTCAGGTTCGACCACCACTGTCCGTGGGTGGACAACTGTGTGGGTCTGAGGAACCACAAGGCGTTTCTTCTCTACCTTGTCACCCTCCTCTTGCTCCTCACCTGGGGAGCCAAGGCCTCCCTAGCCTGTCAGCCTTTGCCCTCCCTCTTGCCACTCTCTCACACCAGCTCTCTCTCTGTCTCTCCTCCAGACCTCTACAGACTCTTCCCAGCTGACCCAGACCAGAGCTGGGTTGGGAAGGCCTGGCATTACTGCACCACTCAGCCCTGGGTGGGGTTTGTTATGATCATGTGTTTCTTCCACCTCACCTGGGTCTACATGTTACTGGCAGCCCAAGTCTTCCAGGTACAATTCACGTCACCTGCTGAAGTTTTATAATTGGTGGTTCAGCCACTGCTATAAGCACTATTCTTGTCCACTCATTCATTGAACTAAATGTCTTTCAGATGATATGCCAGGGAATGACAACCAACGAGAAGAGGAATGCCTATCGCTACACTCACCTTTTGCAAGGCACCAACCCATTCAAGTAAGGATCTTGTCACTGCAGGGTAGACTATAATATACTAAAGTTCCTAAGACTATATCTTCATGGCGAAAGTACATTTTCTCTCCCACAGTCGCGGGGTGCTGGCCAACTGTGCTGATTTCTTTGGGTTTTCCATGTGCAGAAAACCCAAGGACACAGTAGGTTGATATCTCTCACACGGCCCTCTGCAGTTGATTGGTGTGTGTTTGCAGGTTGACTGGACCAAGACATATGACATACCCACAGCCTACACTGCACTGGCTTCGGAGGTGCACCATGCACAGCCTCAGGTGTGTATAATTTTATACATGTCGGTTCATTTTCCCAAATGGCTGCCTTGACACACCTGCAGGTGAGGATTCCGCTGCCATTCAGCTCCAGTTGGGATCCTCAGAGAGACGGCGCAAGGGCTCCAGGGGAGAAACAGCCCCACACCTCCCTCTACACCTGACGACACAGGCACCCTTAGTTCCATTCATTATGCACCTTTTACATGAGGTTGTTTGCCACAATAGTGGCTATAGTGATCTGCTGCATTGTCAATGTACAGTGCACACAAAACACAATGGAACTAGAGCACACAATGAGAACTGTCTGTCAGAGCCGACTAAAGGGGTGGTGTGGGGTGAGTGTGTGAGGGTGACTGGTGGGTGCTGGGAGTATGGTGAGGGTGTGAGGGTGTTGTCGCCCAACGTGTAGAGAATACAGTTGCTGTTGCTGCGAGGAGAGGAAGGCAGGGAAAGAGGGCTGCTGGGTTGTCAGGCCATGGAGACAGAGATGGGAAACATCCGCGTGGTCGCCACCAGGCAGAAGGTGCGGAGTGGGGCTACTGTCTGCTGAGGCATAGCCCGTGTCCTCACTTGTGAGGGAGCTGCCGGGAAAGAGATAGTCAGCACTGCTCACGAGAGGTGCAGGGGAACTCACCTCTTCTGTGGCAGGAGGGAGTAGTGGTGAGGAAGGTAGGTGAGAGGGGAGAGGTGGTAAGAGATGGGATGGGAAGGGTGGAAGGCAAGCTGTGTTGCGAGGAGAGACGGAGGAAGGACCAGTGGGTGGGCAGGAGCAACCGGTGCAAGAAGAGGGGAGGGTTGCATCAATGGAGTTCTGAGAGGCAGCTGTGGGGTTGGTGGGGACGAGTTTGTGGTTCTCGAGAGGCGACAGACATGCATACACTGGATCCAGTCTCTGACACTGGTAGAAAGGAATGTCATAAGTGTTTAGACACAATGAGGAAGAGGCATGAGTACCTGGAGTCTGAGGTGTGGGCTGCCAAATGATGCATGGTAACAAATGGAGACTGCAAGGCCTGCGATGGCAAGTTCCTTCTGCTAGGGTCAAAGGTGAGCATGCTTGCCAGCAACGACACAAACTGGAGACAATCAAGTTGCTCTACTAGTGACTTGTGCTTGTTGCTTCCATGACTACTGAGCCTTGTCAGGTCTGAAAGTGAATGGAAAATGTATTTCCTGGTTTCCTTGGAAACTATTCCAGACTCCGCCTTTAGTTGCTGGGGTGACTGTAAGGGGGGAAGGGTTACATATAAGGGTGAGAGAGGAACTAACAGAACACAAACCTTGAGGATCCACTGGTATGTAAGGTGATTGAGAGAGAAGAACTTGCAGGCCTTGCGGACATTGCGCAGCATACAGGAAGGAGGTGGTCCCAGTGTGCTCACAATGAATGATATTTGGTCATACTCATTGGAACCTGCACGGAGTACACAATGTTGTCATGGAGACACCAAGGAGACGGCACAGACCAGGGAAGAGTGGCCACCCGAGGTAGAGTTCAGCTAGAACACAGCCCAGACTCCACATGTCGATGGCCTCCGTGTAGGGAAGGCTGAGGATCACCTCGGGAGCTCTGTGTGTGAGGAAGACGGTCAGATGCTTGCAGGGTCTGCGACCAGATTTCTGACCGATAGTATCGACTCTGGAGATAGGATGTGGCATTGCCGGCGGACACAGAAGTCGCGGAGCCAAAGTCAATGACCTTGACACGGTATGGCCACCTGCAGGGGGCTTTACTAACTGCCGAAAGGGAGGGAGAGATGGGACACTACCTGGCCTGATCCACTAGCATAATGTTCTCAGGTTTTATGTCTGAGTGAACCAGTCCCAACTGTTGCAGCCTCTGCAGACAGCACAGCACCTGCTGAGCAATGGGTCGGATGTACTTCAGTGCCAGAGGCTGAAACCTGCACCAAAACACATCTCAGATAACAGCAAACACTCGCCTTTCGCGGCAGGCACATCACCTATTTTGCTTGAGGTAGTCATACAAGTTTATCTCCAAAAGCTCAAATGATATACAGATGTGGCCACAGTGGGAAAACGACTCGTAGGCCTGCAAGTTTCATGGAAAAATAATCTCTTACAATCCCTCTACATAGGTGGACAGGGGTGACCTGGACAATGTTGAACTCGTGGGCAGCTTGGCAGGAAAGACGTGTTAGGACATCTATTTCCAACTGGCCTTGTTTGGTGTAGGATGGAATGTTCTTCAACACCTGAGGAAGGGAGTCAAGGTCAGGGGTGGGAGTGAGTGGGGGGGAGGAACATTACCTTGAGAGCCACCAGCTGACTTGTGTCTGCTCGCCAGGCTTTCAGCACCTGGCCAAATGTCCCTCGTCCCAGAACATCGAGTACCTGACAGGCATCACATGACAGTCACATGAGTGTAGGACATGGTGTTGACAAAGCCCACTATATGCTGTGCACTCAAGACACACTGATTTCCTGTGTCAGCTACTTGTCATCAGTACATCAGTTCCCACCAAGTATAATACATGTATGCCCATCTTCCCCACCCGCACCTGATAGGAGCACCTCGGAGAATGTATAACCTCGTTGGCCGTCACCAAGTAGTCACCGTTCTCCCGCGTGAACTGCCGCGAGGCAGCACACGACATCCTCCTCTCCTTTCGCCTCACTTCTCCCGCAGCCGGCGGTCCTTCACACCCTCGGTGCTCAACACACTGGGAGAAAAAGGATCGTACACCAGCCACTCTCTGACAGGATCGCGATCTCTACCTTCGATTCCTCCTTAGCTACAGTCAATACCAGCAGCTCTTCATGACGGCCCACTCCAGTGCCAATGAGTTTACGACGCGGACTTATATCGTAGTAAAACACGCCCCTTTTTACATGCGCATGCGCACACATTTCACAGCGGCAAATTCCAAACTACAAACGGAGTTTCTGGACACACACAAAAAGGGAGAAGAGATGACGGGCTACTCCTTATGGCTACCAGCGGTTTTAGAAGTCTCCTCGGGAGTTTCCTGCTGGCCTGTACTCTGTGAGAGGGGCACAGAGAAACAGGGCACATCCAGAAAGCAGCATATCTGGCGAATGGACATCACACAGGTCTGAGAGACATCAAACACTGCATACACCTGTAGGCCAAGGAGTCAAGGAGAGCCTAAGTTGGTAGAAAGGACTCACTGCCACAAAGGACATGAGGAGAAGGTCAGGGATGAGAGGGAAGTGGATGTTGAGGCAAAGAAGGACAGGTCCCACCATGATGGGGTCCAGCAGAGGGTATGGTATTCTGGTCATCCCTGCCACCTGCAAGGACTCGTACAGTATCTCAGGTGAGGGGAGACAGGACTTACCATCATGAGCAGAGTAATCTTGGTCACCTGGATACCAAACGCAGAGAAGAAGAGAATGTAGTGGGTGTGCACTAATTGGGAGGGACTGTATAAGGCATGGTAGACAAGAGTCGTTGTTATGACGATGGGCGATATGATTGGAGACAAGACACTAGTGTCCTGTATAGAGAGAAAAAAATTGCCAAACTTGTTAAGGTGCATGTGTCTCACCAGAAATGTGACACAAAAATCCATCACCACTGCTATTTACTTCATATATAGACTTAACAAAACTTTTGTGTTTCCACCACCAAAAAAGAGAATGTCAAAAGCTCACAAAAGTCATATAAGATGGTAAGGGTGATGTTGTATTACTCACTGCCACAGTGGAACCGTTCTTGCCGACACCACAAGTGAGAATGATATAGAAGGCATGGAGGAGGTTGAGAACTGTGAACACCAGTGTCCCATACACCAACACTACCTGCAGATGCCTCTTATGTAACTACACCTCTTTTACCAAAACTCGCTGCATACATACCTTCAGTTCTAGGGCAAGGCCTGGGAACAGGTTTGTCCAGAAGTGAGTTCCGAGCAACCCCGACAAACACAGCACCGATATTTGGGCATAGTGGGCCTCTGCTATGTCAATTCTGCAGACACAGCTACACACGTACAGACACTGAGCACGGTCATGAGGCAGCCTCACGTCTTGAAGTGCAGCACTCCACTGACAAATGTCTGCCAGTGGTAAAAGAAGTTGAGCAGAAGAACTGCCACACCTAGCAACAGCCCAAGGAAAGGGTATCCCTCATTGATACCAACTGAGCACCCAGCGACAGCTGCGTACACGAAGGTGAGGATGGCGTCAAGGCCATGGTCAAAGAACTCTCCCAAGGGAGTGGAGAGCCCAATCCTCCGAGCCTGGATGCCGTCCATGCCATCCAACGTCTGGTAGATAAAGAGCCCAGCTGCACAGCAGAGGTACGTCCACCGAGGAGCCTAATGGGGAAACGATGGTCAGCCCTCCTCTCTCTCTCCTCACCTTTCCCTCTGCGTTTAGATCCGGAAGAATTACTGCTAGAGACGTTGCCATGGCAATAACGAAGCCGGCAAAAGTGATGAGGTTGGGGGCCAAGGAGGACGGTAGTAGAGAGACCAGCCATCGCCATAGCCTCTTCAGAACCAGGGACTCGATCAGCGAGACGCCCTGCGACCTGTACACGTGCGTCTTCAGCCCCTCCAGTTGGGCCTGCGTCAGCACAAACCGCATCCCTTGGTCGCCAGCGACTCCGTGCGGTGTCTTCCTCTCCAGACGGTCGAGATCTGATGCCACTTTCCCCACGTATGTCTTTGTCTAGCTGACTGGCTGTCTTTGGTGGGGCGTGAAGAACTGTCGAGTGTGGGTGCATGGCGCGGGCACGTGCGACCACGCCCATCTTCGCTGCGCTCTAATTAGAGTTGGGAGAACGAAGGCGTGACGGCATGGCGCAGGCTGTGCTGCAAAATCCCAAGTACAAGTGGCTATTTGAAGTCGTGAAGGGATTCAGAAATGGCCTGGTGTAAGTTAACTCGTCTAGAAAGAAGGTAGCATTGTTCTTGCGGTAACTCTAGGTACGGAGTCAAGATCAGGCTGCCGCATTCCTTGGTCATGACTTTCCTCTTCCACGAGGGGAGGTGAGAGAGACGATAGCTTTAGCTGAATGAACGACGCCTTCACCCACTCAACTGATGTTGAACGCTTGGGCAAATGGAATTGTGAATGACATTGTATTGCCATAATCTCCGGTCACCCATTGTCTCAAGCATTGTAAGGTTATATCACTGTCACCTATTGTCTCTATAGTCTGCAGGAAAAGCTCCACTTTATTTTGAATGCCACCTTCCAACATGCCAGAAACCTTGCCATTCTAACTGCTCTCTACAAAGCTCTGACATTAGCTCTTCAGAGAATAGCAGGCAGAGCTGTTCCTGGCCTGCCAGCCATAACTGGTGCCGTCTGTGGGTACCTGGTGTTTGGAACTGAAACTAAGATTAACATGCAGGTTCGAACATCCCAGAGTTTTTAACTACTCTCTGATGTGTTTTAACCACAGATCAACCTATACCTCCTCTCTCGGGTTACCATGGCTCTGGTTCGACTGGCACGCCAACAGGGATGGCTCCCTTCCCCGTCCTCCCTCTCTGCTTCCCTCTCCCCTTTCCCTCTCTTTGCTGCCCTAATGTGGGGGCTGGTGATGTGGCTCTATGAGAACCATTTACCTCTCCTTCAGCCATCCCTGCAGGTTCTCTCATGTCCAGATCACCTCGGAGAGGAAAAGGGTCTGGTGACTATTGAACGTTTTCTTGGTTGTGCTGACTCATCATTGTCGACTGCATGTGCAGAAAGACCCGTTTTCGTTCATGGACACGGTTACCATTCCGGTGTCTCCAAATGAGTCAGCACAACCAAGAATTGCTCAGATCCTTTTCCTCTCCTAAGCAGGTGGGGTCTGGGTACAAGACTACCTCTCACACATAACCCCTTCTCTCCCCACAGTCCTCCATGACCTATCTTCACAGCGACAGCAGGCGTTGGACTGGACTGCATGACTTGTTGCTGTACAACTCTCAATCCTTGTGGTAGCACTTTCAACAACTCGGAGAGAAATATATATTTTTTAAATTCACATCAACAAGTTCACAGTGACAAAACTAGTGTTCATGATGAATGGTGTGAAAAGTGTTCAGAAAGGTTCTGTTGGAAGCAGCGGTAGCAGGCGAGCTCAGGAAGACAGTGACGATGGTAAGCATGACCTGAGAAAGTTAGAGATGACTCGAGAGGTATAAATCAACACCGCACTGCAGACTGCAACACCTACCACAGTGGAATACAAGCAGTCCTGGATGCTGGGCTGACATCTTCACAGAGAGAGAGTGGTGGCAGACACCACATCTTCCCCCGCCTCCCACCCTCACTCCCCAGTGTCTGCCGCTCTCCTCCAGCCTTGGGCTCCACTCCACGGCTCCCTGGACTTCCTCCTTCACCTCTCCCCTCTTTCTCCCCTCCCTCTCTCTCTCCTCCATCAGCTCCAGCTCAGCACACACTGCGGCTGGTCTCCGTGACCACAGGTAGCGATCCACCTTCTCCAGAAGACTCCGCGACATTGACCTACACACACACACAGCACTATGGCAGCCCTGTACTATAAGGACACCTCTTACTTCTGCTGGGAATGAACATCTGCAAGTTGGACCAGAAGAGAGTGAAGCTCCACCCCCTCCTCTTCTGATACCCCGCTCCCAACTACGCCCACTGAACCTATGATTTTCACTGCCAGACTGGGGCCAACACTGGCCACCAGCTGACGTACCAACACACTCATTGTCAACTCCTTAGTCACATGACTTTCATCTGGAATCATGTGACTAGTGATGTCACTCATAACTTGCAGAGCCTCTTGCCAATCGGATACTGTTTCCAACAGAATACCTGCACCAAATGAGGTCAGAGAGAGAGAGAAAGGGAGACATGACTAACCCCATTTCTGACAGCCGTCCAGCAAGCTAGCGTCTCTCAGGTACAGGATAATCAGCAGGGATTTCTCCTTGTTGCCCATAGCAACTGCTAGTTCTACCACTCCCAGCCAGTATCTGCACAAAACAGACATATTCTATTTTCAAGCACTCAATTCACATTACTCCCAATTCCACCATTTCAAGTCCAAAAACATACCCATATTTCTCACAGAGGCTGGCCGCTTTATTGAGGTATGGCATTGTCATGGCAACACAGAGATGAACCAGCTGGTCCAAGAGAATTGAATGCACCCATGAGACGTTGTGGCTCCAAGCCCTGTGTATGGGAGGCAGTTGAGCGTGGGAGAGAGGAAAATGCCATAACTTTGAGTACATCAAGTTTAATCTCCGAAGTGCAGACCTTGGTCTGTGTGTCGGTGTGGCTAGCTGATCGAGAGGTGGACCAGCGACTAGAATCCTCTCGAGAGACGCCAGTACACACTCCTCATCACCTTGCAGACATCTCCCTAACTCCAGCAGTCTACTGAGGTAACCAGCATACACACCGAGGAAGGGATCCCCTGTGTCATGTGACTCCTCGCTTCCATCTGATTGGTCAATGGAGCACGCAAGAGCCAGGTGCCAAGGCTGCACATTTGGCCAATTCTCCACACACACGGCAACAAGACTCTCAGGATCAGGGCTCACCAGACTGCAGATGACAACCAATAATACATGAGGAAGGAAAGGGGGAGGGGGGACCTTGAGAGGTAGGTAGGCAGGTCAGCAGCTAATGCACTGTCACTTATCACATCTGTTATCTTCTTCGAGTCGGCACCCCCCTCCCTTGTCTCTCTCCCATTCCTCACCAGCACCCTCCACCCCTCCCTCCTCACACCCCATTCCAGAGCACCCAACACACGCAATGTCCTCATTCCATGCAACAGTCTGGAATAGCGACTGAGGAATGGAATGAAGCCATCCTCAGAGCCATAAGCTTCCACCTCAAGGGACAGTGTTAGAAGATCAACTACCATGGCCCGACCAACTCCCCGCAGAAAAGCCTAAGGAGAGATGTAGAGGCATTGCCGGGGTCAGAGATCAACATCCAATACTCACATTCTCATCAGAACCAACAGCAGTCTCCATAGCAATCAACCATTTGTTCATTGTGGCCTTCAGGGCATCAGAGGAACAGTACACGTCAGGCAATGCCAGAGCTTCTCTGCAACAAAGAAACGACCATTCTCACACACAATCTTTCGCTAACATACTTTGTTTCCAGAGTAGCTGCCGTAAATTCACTGTCTACCAAGTTGTGTTGCTGCGTCACAGCCTTAGCGCTGTGATGTGACTCCCTGGCACGATCTGATTGGTTGACTCCAGTCATCAGGGGCTGAGGCAGCTCCTGACGAACAAGGAACTCATCGTTGAGGAAGACGGTCTGTGGCTCATGAAGACTGAGAGCAGTGGGCACAGGGGCTGCCAGGGAGGAGAGCAGCTCCTTCACCTTCTTCACCGGCTGTTGCAGAGCCTCCTGCAGTGCCTCGTTCTGTCCTCCCTGCAAACACCTGACACTCTCAGGGCCTGCTGTCTGAGATAACAGGACATACCTGTTTTGCCAGTTCTCTCATCTTGGTTATGAAACTGGAACCCTTCTGCAAGTGGGCGGAGTCCAATTGGTACCGGCTGTGTGGGAGCCCAGCGTCAGGGAATGGCAGAACGACTTCCTCAGGAATGTGGCCTAGACTCTGCTCTCTGACATCCTGTGGTGACAGAACATGAAACTGTTGATGGCCAGCGATATAGGCAACTCTTACAGCAGTGGAAGGAGACAAAGATAGGGGGAGAGATGTAGGAGCATGAGGAAGGGAAGAGGAGGAAGAGGAAGATTTCTTGCTGCGTCTAGTTTTCTTCTTGGATCGAACCTTAACTCCATTCTCACTGCAGTTGACACACTACTGACTACTGTTGACAATGTTGCCAGGCAACAACCTCACCTTCCAGCCATAGAGAATCGCACCGGAACTGCAATGACATCATCACTATCGTGGTCTAGCAGGGTTGCCATGGCAATTCGTGGAGGGTCTGTAAGCTGTAAGGACTGGCTCCTCAGGCAGCGTGGCTTTTTGCTAGGCTCCGCCCCTTTCTCACCAGGGACCAGAGAGTGGTCGTCAAGACTGGACGGCATGCTCAGTGGCTGGGGTGGAGACACTCCAGTTGGTGGTTGCTCTGACGACGACTCCAGGGACAGTGTTTCCATGGAAACAGGATCCTGAGAGGTTTCCTCGGAGAGGGATGGGTAGGAGGGGGTGTGGCTTCCAGAGAGAGACCACACCTCCTCCTCATCTTCCCCACCAGTCAGTTGGAGTGCATCCTATGATAGAGCACACCGTCACTGGTGAAAGGTCTATTTAGAGCTCACCAACTCCTGTTGTACACCGCTCCAAGAACTGGACCTCCGGTGAACTCTAGGTCGCCACCCACCCACTTCGCTGTCGTCATGTGACAGACCATGTGACACCTTCGGACCTTTACCAACTGCATCGGGCACATCAAACCTCGCGTTTTCCTCGCCTGTAATCTGCTCCACACTTTGCTCAATGTCTTCTTCTTTCACATCCTTCTCTTCTCCCACTTCCTCCACAATCTTATCTTCAACCTTTCCCTCTTCCTTTACTTCCTCCTCCGTTCCATCTTCCCTGTTCTCAACTTCAGCGACATCTTCTTTCGTGCGTTGTTGTAAAAGAAGAGATTTTAGAGTCAATAGTTGCAGGGAGAGAGGATTGGAGGATGTCCTGCCACTGTGGTGGGTGATTGTGAGGAGAGACGGGTGGAGGGAAGGGTGCAGAGGAAGGAGGGAAACAATCGCCGCCATATTGGCACATACCAACTGGACACACACAAAACACACACCACTCAAAACAACCTGAGATCTAGGGAATGTGGTTACCTTGGTAACCTGCTCCATCAGATTTAGCTCCTCCTGCACCATGAACTGAATGCATTGGGGTAGAGTTGCCATGGTTACCATGACAACCTTCTTCCCCCCGTCAACGATTATACAGAGATTCACTTCTTCCCCTTTCCCCAGTCGGCAGGCCACACCTACTATTCCTTCCAGGTCCCTCGTCCACACAGTCAGTTTCCATGACGATGGTTGCCATAGGTACAGTCCAGCATCATCCCAGCTGACTAGAGTGTGGCTGTTGTGAAGAGAGAGGAGGCAGGAGAGGGAGAGAGAAGAGGGGTTGGAGAGGGACTTTAATTCGGGCGTAAACTGCGGCTCAAACCTGAGGAACACAAGTCACATGATCTCACATGATTGTCACATGACCACTCACCCACAGCCAAGGACCGGAGTCGGAGAAGATGTAAAAAGTTCCCTCAGCTTTATTGTAGATTGCACATCCCCCTCCAGTCCTGCCTGATTGGTGGGTGTGGTCAGTTGAAGCAACACCCACTAATTACCGTACCTCCCACAGCCTTCCTCCAGGTCTGGCGGAGTAGACGAGCACCTGTTTCTCTCTCACATCCAGACAGGCTCCAAACTGACCATCGCGAGGTTTCCTCCCAACCTGCCAGTCAACTGTCATCTCTGGTCTATGTATACCATGTGTAGTACCTGGAGAGCAGTTTTAGTGGCCGAAGACAGCAGTAGAAGAACTGCCCTGGAAACAGTGGACACCAGGAGAACATCACCATGCAGATCCTGCAGGGAGCACACTGATGATAGAGGGGGGAGGGGGAAAGGTTGCTGACTAGCTGAACTACAGGAGACTTGTCTTGAAAGATGACCTCATTTGTTCTGCGGAGGAGACTCGACCTCTTCACAGACTGCCAGTAGAGAGACAGAGAAATGGTGACCAAACCACACACAAATGACAAGCACCTTTGGCAGGCTAGTTACAGCCACACGACCCAAACTGTCTCCAAGGAACAGTCTTCCTTTCCTCCCATCCCATACCACATCTCTTATTACTGCCTCCTTCAGCAGACCTGAGACTTGCAACCTCTGACAGAGACACAATTATAATGCATCATAATCGATGTGCATCCCTACAAAAAACAAAACGACAAAACAGCAGAATAGAGTGTCATTGTGTTTCATCTTACAATGTGATTTTTAATAATTATAAAAGTGGGGCTTCTTGGAGGTATAAAATTGTCTTCTGCATACACTCTGCCCAGCAAAGTAGAGTTTGCTATGAAGAGCTATGGCTAGGGCAGTATACCTTGCAGACTCCATCCCCAGAAAGCCTCAGCTCCCACAGAACCAGCCAGCCTCCCCCGGCAACCACTGCCAGGTACTGCTCATCAGGAGATATCCTGACAACTGACACTCCTCCCTCCTGTGGGCCCGCCTCAATCCAGTCTCCGGGACCTCAACACACACTCACCTTGTTGGCCAGTAGCTGTATGTATCTGCAGTCACTGTGGAAACAGTAGACGCCGCCTGTGTTAGCTCCCAAGGCTATGAAGTTTGTAGAAAGGTCTACACACGTGTACTGCAGGCAAACGGTGGCGGTGAACGAGGTAGAGATAATTTTAGGCTCACCTTTATCCTTCCTGACAGCCCCAGAGGAGCAACCAGCGGCTGCGTGTCTCTCTCTGACAAGAGAAACCGACCACTACTTTCCATCGCAACCAAGCTCCAAGCAAGTGTATAGTAAGGTCGCGCTTGGTGCGCAGCAATTAAAATTTCCGAAAGATGTCGAAACGTGCGGCGGGCAGGCAGATAACGCAGGAATCGTTAGACCGAGAAGACGAGCCCGAAGACGTGAGTTGAGTCCTCGCACACGGCTATTTACTGAACCTCACGTGATCTCTTGCAGGCTGGGCAATTCGAAAGAGCTTCTCAGTCAGAACTTGAGGGAAGAGTGTATGTCATGGTGTGATCTCGTAAGCGTGTGTCCATCAACTTACTTTCTACTACAGGCTTAAGAAGGCTCGGCGTACCCGAGCCACTGGCGAGGGTTCCTCAAATGACCAATCAGAACCAGGCCGAGGGCTCTTTGCAGGGATCAGACTGACTGGACTGCTGAATCAGCAGAATGGCCTCCCTCAATCTAAACCTCTGCAACTTGTGACTCTGCCCACTGCCTCGGAGGCTGTCAGCTCAACTGCTGGCCTCACATCTGTCAGTGTTGCCACTAGTAACACTGGTGAGAACAGACGTACATACAGAGAAAAGATCATTCTCGTCCACCCTTAGTTGCCAAGCCGACCTTCTTGACTGAACTGCGTAGTCTGAACTTTAGTGTCAGCGACTGGATAGTCAAACATGTGAGGGAAAACCCCTACGTCGACCTCACTCCTATATTCAGGTGACCTAATCCTGTATCCCTCTGACTCTCTTCCTTGACTAACGTGGTTGGTTGGTGTGCGATGTTAGGGACTATGAGAAACATCTCAGAGAGTTAGACCAGAAATTTGGCAATCCATCACAAGACGGAGGAAAAGAAGAGGAGTCAGAGGTCGTTGCCACGAGTGATTCCGCAGGTGTGGGTGTGGTCTGAGTAATGTAGGATAAGGTGTAATTAGAGGTTGGTGCAGGTGGGGGGAAAGAGGAGCAGGAAACTGCTGAAGGAGGGAAGGCAGACGAGGACGAAGGAAAGGAGGATGAGGAGGAAACTGCAACCAGTGGGCTGCAGATTTCACCAGCTGCAGAAAAGGTGAGGAACCTCTGAGGCCACACCCCCTCAACCCCACCCCTGACAGGAAGAGGGAGAGGCTCTGCTGTCCGTCAGGGCCAAACTGTTCTTCAAGAGATCCTCTGATACCGAGTTCTGTGAGCTGGGACTTGGCCAGCTGCAAGTGTTGCCAGGCAACGGGGAGGAGGTGAAGGTTGTGATGAGGAACGACACAAGTCTTGCTAAGGTTTCCTTTTTCTCCTCCTCCTCCTCCCTGACTTGAGCCTTCTCTCTGCAGGTTCTACTCAACGTGAGGGTGACGTCAGCTCTTCCGGTGTCCTGTAAAAGGAACAATGTGCTCCTGGTCTGTGCCCCTAACCCTCCCCTAGAGAAGGTTAGGATTTGATATGGATTTGTGTGTTGTGCATGTTGAAGCCCCTAGGTCTCAGGGCATTAGTGTGTATGTCATAACATGACACTGTGACTATCCACAGAATGCTGCCAGTGGGGAAAATGAGAATGCCCCTGTCACTTACCTCATCAGAGTAAAGACTGCTACCATGGCAACAGAGCTACAAAAAGCTCTCCAGTGTTCCAGTGGCGACCAATAATAGACTGACAAAGCCACACCCACCTGTACATGATTGCACAATCTAATTATCATCATAATGATAACAAGTAAATTAAAAATCCTGCAAATAAAAGAGGCATATAGGGATGGTATAAAAAGAAAGGGAGACAAGTAGGGATGGGATACATGAAGCATGGTTAATGAACAGATTTGAGCACGCTGACACCCCAAACCCCATCACACAATCCCCTGTTGCCTGGTGTGCCTCTCTATTTGTACTCTTGGTTATAATTAACCCTCGGCGCGCATGCGCAGCGAGGTTACTGTAGTCGTTCTGACTAGTCTCTGTCTACGACTATTCTCGCACTACAGGCAACGAGGCGGCGGCTTATGAGCGATTCCAACAGCTTTAGCGGTACATCGGCTAGAAAAATAAAATGGGCGATTTTGCTGAAACGACTGCGTTCGAGAGCGACAAACTGGCACGGTCGCGGACGACGCCCAACCCATCAATAAGCGGTGCGCATGCATATAGTATTAGACTGGCTCACCTCGACCTGATGCGCTTGCCTTGGAGGCACAAGAAGCCACAGCGAAGGGTGTGCATCGACTCCCGCATGCTATCTACTACTGTAGCTAGCCAGTGTCAGCGAGCTACTAGCGGGAGACCGCGAGTAAACGCCAATTGCAATAACCAGTCTGATGGATAAGCACACCCTCTCGATCTCTTGATCGTGAGGTCCCTGGTTCGATCCCGGGGGGTGTGCGCCTTTTTTACAATGATGTAATATATAGGAGTGTTGGCTGTTGGTATAACTAGAACGTTTTTTCATCACCTCTCAAGGCCAGCCCGAGTGGCTAGGTGGTTAGAGTCGTGGGGACTGACACCATAGGTGACCGGTTCGAATCCTCGATCCCGCACTAAAATGTCAGATGGTCCAGAGCATTGGCTGGGAACAGCTCTGGTTCCTCCCCTTACCCACAAATCTACCACTGACCCACGTTTCTCAAAGGGCAGCGTACAGTTCGGCATAGCACTGCGTCCGTAGACGTCTGTCTGGAGAGATGAAGGGCTGGGCGTTTTTTTTTTTTCAACCTTGGGTTATTTTTGCACTAAACAATCCACTGGTAATACGAAAATTAGTAGAGAGATGAAGGGTTGGCAATTTTTCAACCTTATATATTTTTTGGGCCTCAAACAGAAATAGGGCTGGCATTTTTATTGACTCCTGGGTGAGTCGCGCACGAGTTTTCTCTCCCATACCATGGAACAAGACCATCAATTGTGGTGGTGCACACTTGTGTACATGGGTTCCACATTTCTATAGAGTGTGCCGAGGGTTTGCACTTTAGTGCTTTTCATTATACTCAGTCGCATGACTTTTTCGTATTTTCAAGCTATATACACTATTGTGTAATGTTGAATGTTTAATACTTCACTTAGGTATGCCTCTTTTTAAATTCGCAAGATTTTTAATTTACTTGTATACTAAGTACTACTGTACTTAGTGATCAATCTGGTGATGTTATGCTAACTGATAACAGAGTTCAGTGCTGGGCTCTATAGTTCTAGAAAGTCTTCTCTAAACTTGTCGAGATCAGAGGACGACAGCTGGACCGCATTCCTGTGAGGGGGGAGGAGATGAGGGATGAGGAAGATGAAGAAAACAGACCTGAGAGCCTTGAGTCTGCTGCTAAGGATTGAGATGGAGTCCAAGTGTCTTGTCAACTGCTGGGCCCTGGTCTCTGCCTCTCTCCCACTCCCCTCCAGTCTCTGGAGAAGACGACCTCGCAGGTTGGCCAGGTTGGCTGCCAGGAACACAGAACATGTGATGATATTCTACCACAAAACCACCAGAGAAAGTAAACAACTCAGACAGTACCAAACCCCCTTATCACTCCTATGTGCACCCAACCTTGCATGTAATGTAGTGTATGTAGGCGAAGTCAAGGCTCACATTGCATCTGGAATTCACAGCTGTTGTTGATGGTTTTGACCTGGAGCTGCACCTTCTCCTTCATGTGCTGGACAAACTGCCTCTTGAGAGCTGCCTCCTTGCTGCGAGGGGTCCAGGCCAGCCACTCGTAGCTGTACAATCCTCCACACACACACATCACTGGCAGCAGGTAACGCCAGTGGAGAAACCTCGGGAGCTGGTGCAACAGTGGTCACATGACAGTCATGTGACCAGGTGAGGGTTTCCTCACCAGTAGAGCAGTTACAAGGAGAACAGCAGGTGCTGCGTACTCCACAGATACCACTGAGTGGACTAGAGAAAGTTTGGACCTCAGCACAGCAAGCCATGACCCTGTGGATGCCACAGCCTACAAGTATAGTGAGGGAGAGGTGAAGAAGAGAGGGGTGAGGGAGGAGGGAAGGAATACTGAGAGAGTGTTGAGGCCAAGGGAAAAATGAAACTGCAGGTCTTCCTGAAAGTCCCCACAGAGCTCGGCACACTGCAGAGAGTAGTTGATTTGCAGTCCAGAGACAGTCTCTCTCAGTCTCTCCAGCTCCGAACTAGACATCTGCAGCAACTCCTGGTGGGCATCTGGGGAAAGTCAAACACACCACCTTTACACTTGTCCCAAAACACAACCACTTTCCTGAAAATGGAATTCAAAAACGAGGAGGTGTTTGCTAAAACCATGGTCAGAAGAACAAAGCTGGCATAGTGAAAGACATAAACAGGCTAACAACTGTCTTGTTGTTGAAAAAACATGGCGGACCTATATACACCTCACCAATAAGCTTGGCCTGGGTCTCTTCATAGATGGCGACCACAGCAGCTGCACTTGCTCTTTGTAACTCTGCCGACAGCTGCTCTTCGAAATGAGATAAAAGTCCCGTCTTGTAGGGGGCGGGGTCACTGGGGTCAAAGGGCGCCTGGTAGAGATCAATGAGACTGGGTAGCTGAGTCAGCAAATCTCTCAGTGCCTTCGACTGAAACGATCCCACCTGACCCATTGCCATGGAAACCAAGTGGTCTCCACTGGCAACGAGAGAGGGTTTGTTCTGTGCCAGCTGCTGTGCTCGGCTCTGACACGCCCCCAGCTCAATCCGAACCTCCTCCCTGAGGTGGGCATTGTCAGAGAGTGGGTGGAGTCGGGGGTGTGGTCAACGAACCTCCTCTGGCGAAGGAGAGAGTCTTGGTTGGCAAGTAGCTGACTCAGCTCTCCGACCACCGTCTGTCCCTGCTTGTGGTGCTGCTCAAACTTTGTGTGGATGGCTGAGCTGGAGAGACACTCCTTGAACCTTCTCTCAAACTGCTCGAAGTTCTGGAGCCTCGCTCTGTAGCCTGGGGCCAGTCCCTGGCCTGCAAAGGAGGTTAGAGTTCATAGTTCACAGCAGAGGCCACACCCACCAGGGTCAGCTGATCTCTGGTGTTTCCTGAGACGATAGTGCAGAACCTCTTTGGCTGACACGAAGAAGACACGATGACTCGCGGTCTGCTCGTCTGTCACACTGAGCTCGCCTGTCAAGAACTTTATGTCTCTCTCCAAGTGTTGCTGCATCACCTGCTCCATTAGCCGAGGCCCTGCGCTATCAATCCCCTCCCCTCCCTCCCCTTCTTCCCCTCCTTCTGCAAGATCACTGGAGTCACTGGCATCCCATCGGTTGTTGAGAATAAACACATTCGGTTTCGAGATCCGCTCACTCACGCGATGGAAGAAGTTTTTCTCCTGCACAATCACAATAAAAATGGGAAAAGTCGTCCAAACTTACTAACGGCATTCATGAGAGTAGACTCTGCATTTGAGACGAGGACAAAGACGTCGGCATCGAGACAGTGTTTCGTAATCCAGTCGTCAATGTTAGCATTCATGTCAACCCCTGGACTGGTGATGCAACGGCAATGTGGGCGAAAATCAACGCCATAATGGAAACTCACCTATCGACAAACTCCACATCTTCAGCTAGCAGTGGACACCTAGCAGTACACATTATAATCACACCACATATCACATGAACACCTAATAAGACTGACTTTGTCTTGGGCCAGAAGATTCGGACCAGCTCACTGGGGTCAAGGTGCTGAGAGCTCAGTGAGTGTGCCAACTGCTGCAGACTCTGCATATACACACAGACAAGAGGTAAACCAGAGGTCAGTGGGTGTGGTCAAAGCCCCACCTTGACACTTCGTTTCTCAGGAGAGTCTCCAATGAGAAGGTACCCCTCACTCCCCTCCCCACCCACCACACTGCAGAAACAGTTGGTGGTGTGCCCGATGCCAACTGGCAGAACTCTGCCATGCAACAGAGCGTTTATGACGCTGCTCTTCCCGTTGGAGGTGCGGCCGAAGAAGGCCACCTTCATTCTGTCTCTGCTCAGAACTTTCTGAATCTCCTGGGTCCGCTGCACGAGACTGGACACGCCCCCTCCGTCCGAGCCCAGCTGGGCGGCTTGCAGGAATGACTGACTCTCGGCCAGCCGCTCGCTGAGGTGCTGGAACGCTCGTCTGATGGCATCCTTCGCCTGAGCGAACCTCTTCAACGGCGACGAGGGATCACGTGCCTCTCTGGCTCCGTTCCCGGAGGCGGGCTGGCTGCTAATGGTCAGAGACCGGTTGAGCTTTGCCCTGTGCCCCTTCCCCTCGTCCTGACTCAGCCTCCTCTCCTGCCTCCCGCCGTACCCGGCTCCTGGAGACTCCACAGAGGCCTGCTTGTCCAGCCAGCGACTCATGCTGTGAGGTCAAGAGTTCAGCCACGCCCACATGTATCAGCTCCGCCCCCGTGAAAGTAATAGAGAATTAGAATGGAAGATGAGCAAAGGCGAGCTCTGGTGGCTGCAGCTGTCGGAGCAAGAGAGAAAGCATATGCAAAATACAGCGATTTCCCCGTTGGCGCCGCTCTCCTCTGTCGGGACGGTAGCATTGTCACAGGTATCTATCTATCCAGGCCACGGGTGGCTCTGACTAGAGCGTCAGACAAACTGTTCTAATCGCAGGCTGTAACGTGGAGAATGCAGTGTACCCTCTGGGTCTGTGTGCGGAGAGAACGGCGGTCGTCAAGGCTGTGAGCGAAGGCCACAGAGAATTCACTGCCGTTGCTGTCGTGACGTAAGTATAAGAGCTAAGAGCTATAATATCCAGGGCGCAGCACTTCTGCCATTTCCTCAAAAGGAAATCTCCGTCGTGTGCATCTCCGTGTGGATCCTGTCGCCAGGTGTTGAGTGAGTTCAGCAGTGACGGTTCTCTGGAGGTGGTGATGGCTCGCTCTGATGGCCAGCACTACAAGGTCAGTTCTGCCTACATTCCACCATCATAATCTCTTCATTCTCTAACATTGTCAGGTGATGACTCTTTCACAACTGCTACCCTGTTCCTTCAGCAATGAAGAATTGGAAAAGGCGAAAACCTAACTACTTCAGTTATGGACTTTTTTTAGCTCATTATTCATAAATAGTTTATTAGTAGAGGTAGAAGTTGAATATTGTTGAAAAGTGCAGAGACCTGCAGTGCTAACCATATTCAGAGAGCCAATAAGTATGTGGTCAAGAAGAGCCGTGGGCAATACAGTCTAGTGCATTCTGAGACTTAATAACTCTGTCAATGGCTGCAATGTCCCTTGATCTTTGCTCTACCACATCCGCAGGTGTCCATGATCGATCATGTTCAAGTCGATACGACCCCAGGAATTGGTGGGCGGGGCCAGTTTTTCCCCACTCCTGCACACAACATAATGTGTACAAATAGAACCCTTCACTTGTAGGTGGAGTAGAACATATTTTACTGCTACCGCAAGATGCTTGCAGACCTAAAACAGTACCACAACAAAACCTACCTTGGAACCAAGCATGGAGAAGTATGCAGTTCCGTCCTCCCTCTCGTACAGGTGATAGGTGTGGCCCGGAACCTTCTGGAAGTTACAGGCAGCGTGGTGCAACTGAGCATCTCTCCTCCCGTCCTCCAGGATACAGCGAGCCTGTCACCACCGAAACCTCACCACACAGCTCGTCTGAGAACAGCACACACCTACCTGCTCCTGCAGGAATCGAATCTGATCCACTATCACCTGCAGCTTCCCTCCTGTTGTGGCTCGGACAAACTGGTCCGCCGTCTGTACCTGGGGTGGAGCCAACTACCATGGCAACAGTGTTCTCGGTAAAACATTGTACTTGTGCAGCGAGAGAGACGAGGTCGAGGGGGTTATGGTGTCTTCTGACAGCTCGAGGATTCACCAGCTGTCTCTCCACATCAGGGGAGGGAGGAACCGTCGTTACATTTCCTAGTGTCATAAGAGTGGCTCTGAATATGAGACGGACAAGAACCGAAATTTTACCTTCCACTAGAACCGTTCCAGCGTCGCTCGTGACTGGAACTAGCGTGTTCACTGCTGTGCTAGCAGTGCTGCTGTCGGTCATCTTTTCCCCCCTTTGTTCAAAATTTCTTTCGCATAATTAGCGTGGGTTTTCGGGTCTCTCTCATTTCTGCTCCCCAAACAGATAGATTTGTCCAGTGTGTTGTGTGTGGTGACGTCCGCACGCTGTGGACTGCGACCGCCGTGTGTTTAACCGAACAAAGAGCCGGCGCGTCACTTCCAACTAGCGAGAGATGGCCACAAAACGGTAAGCCCCATTATACAAGTGTCCAGACATGTGTACAGCTGTTTCGGTAGATGGTTCCACGCTCACATCTCGGGCCAGGACGCGGAGGAGATGCTGATGACGAAGGGCAAAGAAGGCAGCTTCCTCTGCAGACCTAGTCAGACTTCTCCTGGGGACTTCACCCTGTCTGTGAGGTGTGTAGGTATTTGTACCTCTCTTCTTCCCTTGTCCTACTCTCTCCTTTCAATAGGAGAGTCGATGATGTGACTCATATAAAGATCCAGAGCACGGGAGATTACTATGATCTATATGGAGGAGAGAAGTTTGCAACGCTGGCAGAGCTGGTGATGTTCTACACGGAGAACCCTGGGACCCTAAAGGAGAAGAATGGCGATGTCATTGAGCTAAAGGCACCACTCAATTCAGAGGAAGTCACAAATGAGAGGTACGTTGCATTCCTCACTACAAAATGCTGACCATATGTGGCATACCTAGTGATAATGTGTGTGTGACCTTCACAAAATGGCAGGGCTTGCAAAAGAAAACATGTTTCTTTCCGTTCTGTAGGTGGTACCATAGCAACCTAACAGGAAGGGAGGCAGAGACACTGCTGCTGGGGAAAGGACAGGACAGCAGTTTCCTTGTTCGGACGTCGGTCCACAACCCTGGGTTCTACGTTCTGTCTGCCCGAGCCGAGGACAAAGTCAGTCATGTGATGATAAGAAACAGAGACAACCAGTTTGATGTTGGAGGAGGCACCGTGTTTGGGTCTCTGGCAGAGCTGGTTGAGCACTACAAGAAGAACCCAATGGTAGAGACGTCAGGTGGGTCACCATGGGAGATGGGAATAGCCTCTGAGTCTCTCTCTGTCTGCAGGCACTGTCATCAGTTTGAAACACCCGTACAATGCCACCTCTTTCCTCCCGGCCAACATCTGCCAGAGGGTTCAAGAGCTCCAGAAACAGAACCAGGAGGTGTACGGGAAGGCTGGTTTCTGGGAGGAGTTTGAGGTGTGGCCTCAAAATGAGGTTTTCGTTCATTTCCTAACCCCCCCTCCTCTCTCTCTCTCCTCAGCAACTGCAGCAGCAAGAGTGTAAACACCTGTACAGCAGGAAGGAGGGAGCACGACCTGAAAACAAGACAAAGAACAGATACAAAAACATCCTCCCATGTGAGCCACAACCCATATCACGTTATGTCACGTGATGTCACCCCCCACAGTCGACCACACCCGGGTGATGCTGCGAGATGTGGATCAAGAGGTGGTTGGTGCAGATTACGTCAATGCCAACTACATCAGTGGGGAAGTCCCTGGATCAGAGAAATGTTACATCGCAACTCAGGTCAGTGCATAGTGTGGGTGTGGTCTGTGATGTAATATGATGTAACAAAACCCCAGGGCTGTCTCCCGGGAACTGTTGCTGATTTCTGGAAGATGATGTGGCAAGAGAATAGCCGAATCATCGTTATGACAACAAATGAAGTGGAGAGGGGGAGGGTAAGGCAATGTTTGGTGGGTGTTTATCTTTCTTCTAACAGCATTACAACTGTGTTTAGAACAAGTGTACCCGGTATTGGCCTGACCTGGACGAGACTAAGGTACAGTAAGTGGTGTTCTACTGGTAGGTATATATGAGTGTATACTGACAGGTGTATGGTGGAGTGTTCCACATGGCCAACCTCAAGGAGACTGCAAACCCTCACTACATCCTCCGAGAATTTCTTCTCCACTGCTCTGATGATGAGGTATAACTGCAGGATCCACCCCTCTGTCTCTATGGTAACCTGTATATCTCACAGGAGGGAGAGGGGAGACACATCTTCCAGTTTCACTTCAAAGCCTGGCCTGATCACGGAGTGCCTCACGAGCCAGGCGTTGTCCTTGGCTTCCTGCAGGTTCAGTACAATCTTCACTTCAGCTTCACAGCCTCATCATCATCTTTCTCTCTCATTGGTGTGTGTATGTCTTTTAGGATGTAAGTCTGAAACAGACAACGGAGGAAGAGGCAAAAAATTGTGGACCAATTGTAGTCCACTGCTCCGCAGGCATTGGGCGAACTGGCACCTTCATTGTCATCGACATCCTCATCTCCCTGATCAACTTCCAGGGTATGTTGTGTGCCTGTGTCATGTGACTGTCATGTGACATAGTACTGGTTCCCTTGATGCAGGCTGGGACAATGAGATAGACATTCAGAAGACAATTCAGCTGGTCCGAGCCCAGCGTTCCGGAATGGTTCAGACTGAGGTGCGTCCACAATCTTTTCCCCGACATTTTTCATGCCTCACATGGTTACTCCCTACAGCAACAGTATAAGTTTATATACGCAGCCATCAATGCATTTGTGGAGTCCTCAAAGGCACTCATGCAAATCGTAAGATAATCTGTCTCTCTGTCTCCATTCTGGTGCGGTGTCCCTCACTTGAGTTTCCCTGCCGCAGGCCGAGAAGGGGGATAACTACGGGAACCTCAAGTTCCCACACAAGGGAGAGAAATCGGAACCAGTGTATGGAAACATGGGAACTGGGGAACCAACTTGTGACAGAGGGAGTGAGGTAAGCCTCCCATTTCACAGATCTGTAGAGACTTTTGTATTCCACAGGCTAGCAAGCCACCTCCTCCCCTTATGCCAAAACCCTAGCACTGGCTAGGCTCTGCTAGGAATCGATCCCGCTGCCTCTGTTCTCCTCACAGAGAATGTTGGTGTTTTCAATATTATTGTTTTTCGTTTGTTTGGACTGCTATTCATACACAATTTTGTCGTCTTTGTATAATACAGTGAAAGTAAATTTTTAGACCAGAGTTAGCCAGTCGCGCCGCGCGCACACGTACTTCCCGGCAGCAATTTACAGTGCGCATGCGCAACGGAAAACGAATTCAAACGCTCGGCGGCCAGAAAAGCGATGGCTGTCGTCTCGAGGAGTATAGGGCTGTTTGTGGCGGTTTTGCTATGGTGCAGCGGGACTGAGGCTCTCTGGTGGCCTTTCTCTAGTGGAGGAGGAGAAGAAACGCCGCCAGCAGCGGCCGCTCCAGCGCCGCCCAGCGGACCCGTCACTTTCGAGATGAACAGTGCAGAGCAGAAGTTCTTGGCGGAAGCTCAGGCGATGCTCAACCTTCCGCCGCTGGAGGCCTGCCAGCATAAGGTCTGGCCTCCCCACTGAACTCTGTCCGTACGTGAGCTCTAGCTATCCACCATGCCAGGTTGTGCGGGAGTTGAAACAGTCGTGTGGCGCCATGGGGGAGGAGAAGCTGGGGAAGATGTCTGTGGCTCTACTGAACTGCCAGAGCCAGGCCGAGAACAGACCGACTTTCACCTGCACCCTCGACATGGTTAGTCTTTGCCTCGCCAGGCTCTCAATCGCCAGGGGAAACGAGATACAGTGTGTAAATATTTCCCCTTCCGAAGCTTTTCGCTCTCTTATCCTTTCCTTCGAACGGAGAGGTTTAGTAAGTCTCTCCCCAGACACTGGCTGAGTGTACGACTGACATGGACCCCACTGTGTGGAACGCCTACCACATCATCTCCAACAGAGCTCGCTCCGTCTGCTACGCCACACGACAGCAGATGTTCAGACGACAGACCGAGGCAGTCGTCAACAAACTGTCTTCCTCCTCTCTCCAGCAGATACAGGTACTCTAGCTGTTTGGTGTTGTTACTAAAATGCGGCGTAGACATGTAGACAGGGAGGTGCGAACATGATATGGCATCAGTTGTTGTGCAGGTTTCGATGACCATGGCTTCCACATTATCCTCACAATTGACAGTTATCCCCTGAGAACTAAAACTTTTGAGATTGACAAACACACACTTTCAAACACAATAACAGTTTTATAAGTGTGCACCAAGCCCAATGTGGTTGGGTTTGTTGGTTTCTCTGTAGGCAATGATGGAGCTGTCAGAGCAGCAAGCTGAGGTGAAGAATTTGGCTCAGTCTTCACTGAAGACCCTTCAGGAGGTGAGGTGACCTCACATTATTCTGAGTCTGCCAGTCACCGCTCGTCTCTGGCCAGGCCCAGAGAGAAGCGAAGGTGAGGGAGAGAGAGATCGCTGCCAATGAGGAGGGAATGAAGGAGAAGATTGCCTCCAATCTGGAGCACCTCGCGAGGGAGAAGGTCCTCATTTCCAGTGGCCAGCAACTGATTGCAAACATGACCAGCGACATACGCCAACAGCTTGGTGAGTCCCTAGTCAGCAACTTAAACTGGGGCCTAGTAACTGAACGTGCTCCTATTCCTTTACAAATTATAAGTGTGGTCCCTAAATAGTACGTGTGTGTGAATAATTAATATAGAGGTGGCAAGTGAAATGCTGGGATCTCAGGAACAGAATCTAAAGGCCAGTCAGAAGGAGATAATGGATGACATATCAACTGTGAGGGAGAACATTCAGGGAGTCTGGGGCAGGATTGGTAAGTCACAGATCAGGGCGGGGGGAACTTATAATGACCATTCTTTCCTGCAGACAACAGGACGTCGCAGCTGCTGGGTGTCCTACAGGACATCACTGACCACTATCAGGACACGCTGGAGAGCCTACGGGTAATCAACGAGACTCTGGGTGGGGTTCAGGAGATGGTGGAGGGAATGAATGCAGCTGTTCACACCCAGCTGGACTGGGTAATTGGGCAACTGGGCGGAGCCAACCACGGCCTCAGGTGAGTGCTGTGCAGAGAATAATCTTTAGTCACCATGACCATCTCTCCACCAGAGTCCTGAGCAGCTGTGCAGGCCACGCCCTCTTTCTCCTGGTTGCCATGTTAGTCATCGTCTTCCTCAGAGCTCCGGCTGTTGCAAGATTCTTCCTCCTCGTCTCCGTGGTTACCAATGCCGTATGTGACGTGAGGATGGGTGTGGCACTTACTTACTCTGCTCTGGCTACTATGGCAACCATTGTTGTTCTCTGTAAGATGTTGTTTTATTGAAGCATGTTTTTATATGTACATTTCCCTCAGTGAACTGGCTGTGTGTTAGTCTGAAACGAAACAGAAAGACAGCACCTCCTGTTTTTTCACTCCCAAACTCTCAACCTTATGTCCACACCCACTCTGACCGTGCCCCCTTTGAACAAGACCACGCCCACAACCACTCGCTGGCCTCTAGTCTGGATGAGGATTCCATCATTGAATACGAGGTTGAGAAGCCAGCCAATGGCCGAGCCTCACGGGATCTCACTCCACAGTTTTTGGCTGCCGAGACTCTTAGCTCCACCCCTTCCAAGGCCTTGTCTGGCCCCGCCCGCTGCGTTGCCATGACGAATTCTGGAATGCAGTGTCGTCTCCGTTCCATTCCAGGGTCTGTCACCTGCCACAGGCACTGCTGAGGTTCTCAGCTTCTGAATTTTGAACTGCAAGAATTGAATTTTAACGCTTTAAGCAGAAACATTATTTTTCTTGTTTGGGTTTAATAATTGTTGTACACTTGTACATATTTTTAATGGTTGTAAATTTGTTTTTAATTCACTGTCTAACGATTACACATTGTCTTTGTCAATAAAAAAGAAGGTGGGTATGTCTAAGAGAAAAGAGAAGATGTCATGAAGTGTGGAGGATGGAAAAGAGGGAGGAGGAAGAGAGGGGTAAAATTGGTTTGCTCCTACGACACTTGTCAAATATCTCTATGGCAATATCTGTGGACACAGAGAAGAATAGCAACCAGTTATGATTAAGAGAGTGTTGTCTGTTACCGAGGGTCTCGGTCACTAGTGGAGGCATCAGAGACTGGAGAGTGGCACAGTTGGTGTGCATGGCTGGGTTTACATTCACCTCTATCAGCCACACCTGTGGCAACATGAAAAATTCTGAATAATGGGACACTTGGAACATCGAAGGTGTGGAGATACACTAATGTATTAGCAGAACCAAGTGTCCTATTGGAGGGTCCTTCGGTAAAACCTCAGAGGTGGGTGGCTCTCACATTGAGCTGGCTGTCCAACATGAAATCAAACCCCAGGAGGTCAAAGAAACCAACTCTGTGGCTCAGCTTGTGTCTTACACTCTGGAAACACGTGGACATGATGGCCTTCATCTTCCGCTGAGAGGGGTAATGGGGGGAGAGTTAGGTTAGCTGTAAAGATGGAGAATGTAACTGACAATGAGAGTTGAGGTGACCCAGTCAGGAGGTAGGCTGTGCTCTTTAGTCAGATGCTCCGCTAGCTTCCTGTAGTCCCACACCTGGCGGTTGGAAAGTTAGCAACAGAAGGGTAGGAGCTCTTGAAACTGAACTACTGGATCAGTAGTAATTATGGTCCCCAGACCCTACTCCGATATCAAGATTTGTAAATTCTATTGAGCATTGTTTTCATGTAAGCCAAAGGCTGCAGACTACAAAAGGAACATTCATCGGATGTAGTTCTCACTGTGTCTTCCCTCATTGTGGAGTAGTCAGGATGTTTCTTCTGTTGGAACTGGTTGGTGAGATGGACCGTCAGGTCATGACTGGCTGCATTGTACGACGCACAGCTGAGTCTGACGTAGCCATCGCCATACAGGACCACGTATGGCTGGGCAGCTACCACCAACATGTACACTCTGATATCAAACTTGCGTCCTCCCAGCAGCAATGGAGGTGTGATGTACCTGAAGAGAGAAAGAGAAGTTACAAGTTTCAGCCATAGAGTTGGTGTGGCTTACCGCTGAGCAATGCGAGGTGTTGGACGAGAGGCGATCTTGCAGTGTTTCTCATCACCCTCCAGTCGGTCCAACACTTGCTGTAAATCTCTCACCAGAAATATCCCTTTGCCCTGTGTCCACAACTCCTAGTGTGTCGGTCACGAGGTGCACAACCCCCTCACCTGGTTGGCACCGGTGGGCTTGCATATCCACAGCTCTCCACTGCTGTAGACTCTAGTGAACTCTGCCCTTTCTTCCTCGCGGTCCAGTCTGTAGGTGTCTGGCAGGAACGACGCCACTCTCAGTCCTCTGTAACAACAGTATTGACAGAGTTTGCCACCTACTGGCTCATGGACAAGTTTGCTGAACGCTTGAAACACGTCACACACACACAGAGTTGAAAAAGTTGTACCTGGCCTCAATCCCACGCGTGCTGTGATAATGTGCCTACAGTGTGTGCCTGATCGGATATAATGAGAGGAACGTGCACTTGCGCAGGAAAAAAGTGAGAAAAAAGTGTGCATGTGCAGATAAAACGTGGCAGAGTGACTAAAAGTGTGTATGCAAAGAAGAAGAAACGAAGTGCGCACGTGGAAGAGTCATGCACATCGCAGAAAAAACGTAGCAGAGTTAAAAAAACATGCACATTTGAACTCAGCTCTGCATGATCGTGCAGTTCATTGTTTTTTGATTTGGATATGCAATTGGCATTTACAAATTAAAGTTGGGATTTATAAAGCAAAGTCAGCACCATGGCAAAATTTGAGTAGTTTCCATACTTATGGCAGTGAGGTCAGCTCACCTTGCCCCAGCAGCTGACTGAAGTCTCTGCATGGCTCTCAGGGACTCCAATAGGCCTATCTTCGTCGTGAGGAGAGAGATGTTCGGGAAATGATTCACAATCTGCTCTCCCTCTCGGAACTCCCTGCAGAAGTGGGCATGTAAGTGGGCGTGGTCTAGGTTTCCCCGGTGACCTACTTGTAGTTGATGTGTTTGCTGATCTCGGTCCATTTGAGGGTGAATGCAGTGGAGGAAGTGTCCTCTAACTGCACCCAGCCTTTGCTTCTCAGAGCCTCACACACTCTGCACTTGCACAAAAAATCACAATAATTTGTGCGTTCTTACTCCAATTTTAGCCTTGCATCACTATACTTATTCTATTTTTACAAGCCATAAAAAAAAAAAAAGAATATTTCTTCCAACAGTGCAAGTACTGAAGCAGAAAACTTTCACAAGTGTGCGCTTCTCAAAGCCTGCACTTAAAATACTGCAGCAAAGTGTATAGCAGATTGGTTTGTCCTAGTGTGTGAATTGTGTAGCCTGCGAATTTGCATTTGGTATTGAATGCCTTACAGAGGTGCTGCATTTCCACCACACACAGCAAAAGTCCTGGCAGATCCCCGAGCTGATGCACGAGATCTTGAATGATGGGAGACTGACTTCCCACTGGCACTCACTGGAGGACACTGGGAGAGGAGACCTGGTTACAGATGTTGCTTACAATGAGACCCAAACCTTGGCCAGAGGAGAGAGGGACTGGACTTTGTCAGGTGGAGAAGTTGCTTCACTTCTCCCACCATCTTCCTCTCCTGAGCCTAGAGATGGAGTCATGTTGTCAGTTGAAACACAGTGTCATTCTCAGTATATACCTTCCTTCTCCCCTCTCTCATCTCCCCCACCTCCCCCTCCCTCCTCGTCCTCCTCTCCACAAGACTCATCTTGCTCAGTTGAGAATATGGAGTACTTGCCCGGTGTGAACTGATGTGCCACCTCCCACTCATGCTCGGGGCAATAGCTGACGAAAGTCAGAGAATTATTGGGGAAAACGAGACATTTAAAGGCTCAGCAATAAGTTCCAACCTGCGACATATTCCGTTCAGCCAAGTGTCAATGGATCTGAAGTGATACTGCATACTGTGGTAGCTCTTGGAAACAAACTGATATGATTCATGTATCTCCACCCTACACATTATTATACAGCAGCTGGAGTTGTACATCTTCCAAAATGGTTGACCCACCGCCCTTTCTGCCATCTTGCTCCTACTGTCTTCTCCCCGTCACCCAGCCAAATCTCCACATGCACCATGCCATGTCTCTGCTGTTTCCTCTGTTCATTGAAGTAAGTCCCCGACACGAAGACCAGGTCCCCAGGCCTCATCTCCTCTGGACCAGACAGTGCCACTGGAAGAGTGTCAAACTGACAAGGACAGTCCAATTATGAGAGGTTGGAACTTTTCTTGTTCACAAGGAAAACTTGTGATATATCTTTGAGCAAATTGTAACTATGTGTAATTGTAACTACAAATCTGTGAAATTCTCAATTCACTTTACCATTTGAAAATCACTTCTCACGAGTTACATGCTAATGTAGAGACCTGGTAAGCCTGGTTCCAAGGCCCCACAGTAAACCCCAGCTCCTCTTTCATGTCTCTCAGGACTCGCCTCACAAGTCCACAGCAGTCCAGGAACAGAGGGGCATGGTGGGTGGGGGCTGCAAGGAACACACACACCTCATTCACCCTCTCTCCGGTGAGCTCCTACAAACTAACAATCTGGCTCGTGGTATCTGCGCGCATACGGAACTCCGCAGTAGGAGAGCGCTGTCTGCAGGAACTTGTTCCTGAGACGCTCCAGCGTCGCCTCGTCTCGCTCAACCTCTCTCCCCTGGTCCCTCGCCTTTCTTTCCCTCAACTCCCTCTGTGTGCGTGCGCCATAACGTGCAGCATCTAGCTAGTGAGTAAAATCGGCGTACCCGCTTCTTTTCTCTGAAGATTCTGAAGGCATCTTGCAGGCTTGGAGTCTCGGCACATGCTTCGTTCTGGTCTCTGCAGGCTCTATCAGGCGCCTCCTCCTTTCCTTGGCTCGCCATTGTATCGCGCTGTTGCTACGCGACAAAAGCGCTGAGTCAGCATAAATTGTGCTGATCAGCAAATATTGTGCTGATTCAGCAAGATTTAAAATCTCGGCGGCGAAATAATTATGGGCAATTCTTCTTCGTACGAGTCTCCTCTTCTCTGTCCGTCACACTCGCCTCAAGGCAAACCTACCTGTCCGGCTCCAAGCAAAGCTAAGAAAAGGATCGGCGATCCTCGATCTCCGACCATTGATTTCGACCGGACGCCGCTGCGGGTCCAGCAGATCAGCTGTCCTGACCCACGCTCGCCCTCTCACCGTCTCCCTCGCACGCCCATCTCTACTGGCGACGAAAACAACCAGCCGCAGGACATGAAGAACGCCGCAGGAAAAAAGAAATTGTTCAACATTGGCGGAGATACAGCTCCAATCGTGGCGGCGGACTCACTATCTTCATAATAACCTCATCACTTGTGTTTTCTTTTGTTTTGTGTGCCCATCTATCTTTTACAGCTGTATAATTATACTTTGTGTGTATTCCATTTGAACAAAACTGAATGGAGAAAACGAAAGAAAGAAGTCATTATAAGCCAAGTTGATCTAAGAGGGCAGTTTGAGAAGGTCTGTCGGAGAGGGAGAGAGAGGCTGTGGCCGACTCCAGACTGGTCCGCTGATAGTGGCAAAGTCTTGCTGGTCTCAGTAGCTGCCGCGCTGACTCAGCAGGAAGGGGGGAGGGGTGCAGCAGCTGCAGTTCTTCAGCTTTTCTCAACCAGGAAGGCCTTGGAGATTGGGGTGTTGGGCCTATTCTGAGCCTCTGAAACTGAATGGGTAAAGTGAAAGGATCATCGGAGGGTCTGGAGTCATGAATGTCGGTAGAGGCAGAGCTCAGGGGTGATGTGTAAAGTAAAAGAAAACAAGATAGAAGAGAGAGGGCTGATATTAGAGCAAATGATGTGGCCCAGGAGACATCTGCAGAGAGTGCGGGCGAGTCGTAAGCAAGGTTCATATACGGTGAGGAGACGGTGCAGAGAGAAAGGTCGCCACACTTGGTTCCACTCCACGAGTCACGGCTTCCTGTAGCGTTTGCAGAGTCTGATATCGTCTGGATCTGTTTGAATAGAGATGGCGTGTCGATGGAGAGGATCAGTTGGGAGATTATGAGGCTCGCTAACACTACCGCAGCCAGCGCGCATGGCGACCGGACCATCTCATATCCACACCCCACCCGCGTGTTTTATTTCAATTGATGCGCATCAAAACACGATCCCCCGCCGTGTGGGCGTGCCTCTATTATCAAATTGCTCGAATTTCTTGCCTCATTCGGAGACAAGGGCTGTTGTAACGAAGCAAGCTGTATCTAATTTGTCAGTTCATTTATCTGCAACAGAGCCACCGACTCGGCCGCAGCACGGAGAAGAAGTTAGGAGTTAGAAGTTAGACGGAGCGAGGCAACCACTTAGGACGTCTTTGAAGTGGGATTAGCTCATCATTCCAAGGTGCATTCCTAGATGGCAGCTGTTAAAACGGGCACGGACCCTAAGAGGAGGGACGACTTCCTAGACACGATGGAGGAGGAGATGCGCCGAGTCTCTGAGCACCTGGAGCGTCGCGAGAGGCGCCTGGGGCTCAAGTCTCGCCGCAGCAACGCAGGCGAAATCATCAACGGCTACAGTTTCTCCGAAGGGAGCGGCGCAGAGGCTGGCGCTCGCCGGAGGAGGATCAACCATTACCCGCGGACGTGGAAACGGAACGAGGAAGAGGAGAGGAGCTGGACCAGCAGTCCAGACACCCGGAGTCCGTCTCCCGGCCCGCGCAGCGCACCGCCTGACAGCTCCCCGCCGCCTCGTTTCAGCGAGCAGCTGCCTCTCACGTCGAGTGCCTCGTCAGAGAGCGGCAGTCCTGGCACTAGGTCCACCCCCGAGCGCTGGGCTAGCCAGAGGAACGGGCGAAGGTCGGGCAGCTCCGGGGAAGATGTGAAAACGGCTGAGGAACCGAGAAAATACTACGTAACCACTGGCAACCGCGACCGTCGCTCGACGTCTGGCAGTCCTTTACGCTCTCCGCCTCCAGTAGCTCCGAAGCCTAAGTCCAGAAATAGCCCTGGGCCGCACAGACCTCGAGCTGGCTCTGCGCCCCCGCCCCACCGTCCTTCCCTCATCGTCAGCACAGCAAGGGAGAGGAGAGAGGAGAAAGAGAAGGTGGAGGAAACGGCTGCAGCTGTGGAGGAATCTGCAGAGTTACTGGAAAGTGGGCCGACGCCAGTCCCGATTGAGATATCGGAGCAACTCAATTCCCCGTCGCTCACACCCGAACCCTCGGAACCACTGCTAGTAGTCCACCAGACGACGCGGGAACTCAGTGGCACACCAGAGAGTGGGTGCAGTACCCTCTCCCCTACTCCCATATCATCTCTGGAGGTTAGCGAGACGAGGAGAAAAGAGGCAGCAAGTCCCGGGATCATAGAGATCTCAGGCCACTTCTCGTTTGGAAAGAAGAGAACGATGGAGCGGAGGAGTGAAGAGGGAGAGGGGAGGGAAGGGGGGCTGGAAAGTGTCGTGGAAGAAGAGGAAGAGTTGAAGGAAGAAGTGGAGAGTGCTCTACTTGAAGCCATGATGGAGGGAGAGGAAGAAGAAGGGGAGTGTGTGAAAGAGGAAACGCATCTTGAACGATCCACCGACTCACTAACTGAAACTGCAGAAGAATTAGCCCCCTGGGGGTCAAATGATGACATCACTCTTGAAAATCAAACACCCCAGGAGCCCGGAAGAGAGTTAACACTGGACCCCCAAGGTTTGGAGGTGAAAACACTGCCACTAATGTCCCCAGCGAGAGGTCAAAAGGTGAGCCCTGGGCAGCAGCGGCGGAACCAGGAGCTGGCGTTGGCAGTGAAGGAGCTCCAGCTGCAACTGAGGGAGAAGGAGGAGGAGATGGGGCGACAGAGAAGGACGGCGGAGAGAGAGGCGAGGGAGAGGGAGGAGCAGGTCGACAGGTTGGAGAGAGAAGCCCAGCGGTGGGAGAAAGAGAAGTGGGAGCTACTGAAGAGGGCCAGGGATGGCGCAGAGCGAGCTCTCCACCTGCAGACCCAGCTGGGAGTCAAGGAAACCCAGCTGAGGTCGCTGCAGGCTGACCTTGGTCGCACAAGAGATGAAATGATGTCAGTGAAGAGTGCCAACACCAGTCTGAGGGCTCTGCTCAGTGAGCTGCGAGCTCCGAAACCCACCAAGGAAGTGGGGGTGCAGGCTAGTCTGGGCCCAGGGACCCTGAGAAGAAACACTAGCATGGAGTTGGCGGTGCAGGAGTTACCACGACCCTCCAGTAGCGATATGGAGAGGGGTGTCGACTTTAGAGCATCCACGACGAACCTGGACAGAGGGGTGAACCACAGGATATCAAACTGCAGTGCCATGAGCGAGGGATGGTCCATGACGCAGGGGGCGTGGGACCGGAGCAGCGAGCGGTGGGGTAGAGAGCAGAGCGTCACAAGTGTGACGTCGTCTGTGTACGAGCGAGGCAGCCGGGAGGGGACACCGACACAGAGTCCCAACTCCAGCCAGAGAGGGAAGAAGAAGAAGAGAGGGCCATTGTTTGGGAAGCTGAGAAAGAGTGCAGGGAAAAGAGGCAGCACTCCAACAATACTCGGTGAGAACTTGTAGATTGTAAGTTGGGGACTCTAGTTGTGCTAACAAGACTTCCATGTCTCTTAGTGACGAAAGATTCTCTCTCTCTCTTGCTAATGTCTGTTGGGTAAGAGAGAACATTTGTTGGCAGTAACTAGTTTTCTCTCTCACACATTAAAGTGTCTACTGCATAGTAAAGTAGTTGAGTTGTTGTTGGTAGTTGGTGTGGGAAATCTCCCACCTGTCCATTAGCTGCACTGACTTGTGTGGGGACTGTTCATTAGCATTCCTAGCCTGCCTCCTACCCTCCTCCTGTGTGTGGCAAGCTCTCTGGACCATGTCCCTCTTTCCCTGAGCGGTAGGAAGTGGTAGAGACAATGTAAGATTTCCCCTCCCTGGCAAAGATACTATTGTGAGGTGATGTGGAATGTGCTGTTCATTATCAAATGGCAGCTGGCCTCTGCCTACCAAGCCATCTCGTGTGTATACCTCTGGCTTTCTGTAGTCAGTACTGGTGTAGAGGGAAAGGGTGGAGGGTTTCTGGAATGGTCTCCTATAGCCTGCACCTTTCGTGCATGTGGCAAACGTGACAGGCCTTGCCTTGTTTACTGACTGTGCCATAAACATGAATACTATGAGCTCTATAGATCTTAAAGGTTGAAAGGAGGGATTTACGAGCATTTCAGTATCACTATCTCGTCTGGGGTGGTGCAATACACACATGAAGTGTGGGCTCTGTGCTCTGTGCCTGTAAGTGGGTACAGCCATGCATGTGGGAATGTTCCAATTTGCCTCCTGTGTCTGGAAAGATGAAAGGTTAACCCTTTCTCCATTGTTTTCTCAGTTTATGATTTAACCCTTTCTCCCCAATCTCCTACAGACGGAGTTGATATGAGTCAGAGCAGTCTGGTGCAGGGTCATGGCCAAGCTCCCATTGCCTTCCCCTACCACACCAGAGTGGCAGTTGAGACACAGGAGCACTGGAGAGTCTTGCAGGAAGCTAAGAGGGTGCCCTTTAACCTCTGGAATGGCAGTACCATTGTAGCCTGGGTCTCCACTGGACTAGGTGTGTGTGTGTGACAAGTGAGAGAGATATTCATAGGGTGTGACTGGATGGGGGAGGACAGCGCTAGAATAGCTGGTGTGTAGCAATAACAACACTGTGTTGACTGAGTGGCCATATGTAACCACATGTTTTCTCTCTCCTCTTTCTCCACAACACCTCTCACACCTCTCTCTTGTCAGGGATGTCGCAGTATGTGTCTGCGGTGAGGGAGCACATCACCACCGGCAACGCTCTCCTTGCTCTCTCTGACTCTGACATGGACAAGAAACTGGGTGTGTCCAATCCTCTGCATCGCAGGAAACTCCGCCTAGCGATAGAGGAGTGTAGAAGACCTGACAGGTATAGTAACTGTAGTCCTATGTGCATATGTATGTATGTATGTATGTAGTACACCAGACTTGTGTATAGGTCATGCACTAAGTCATGTGAACTAAATGCCATGCAGTTCAGTAGCCGTGCATGTGAAGCATAATTTATGGTCAGGTGGTATGTAGTACCGTGGAATAACTCTAATCCCGGACACCAAAGGACAGAAGAAAGTTTGTCCTCGTTTCAGGGCAAGAACTGTTCATGGGGAGTGAAAATTAGTCTGTTTTGAGGAAAGTCTACTTGTTCTGTACATTTTGTAAGACATAAAGCATCTATAGTATGTTTACAGTGAAAATGCAAATTTATTTTCAAAAAGTGGGGTATTTTCCTCTATACTGGGGTTTTACCATTGGGACTAATGATGAAACACAATAGCACACACAGTGACTAGTTGTGGGAATATGAGTATATACATGAGACAAAAATGCCTCTTGGTTAACTATGTATGTATTTCTAGTGTTAGTGTGTGTGTGTGTGTGTGTGGCCACCTGGCAGAGGTCCAGTTAATGTGTGTCCTGAGAGGAGAGGAGGGGAGAGAGGGTCCATCGGGTCTCTAAGATTCCAGACATCCCTCACCCAACACTTGTTGTCCCAACAGTGGCTGTTCGTCAATTCCCTTCACTGTGGGAACATTACATATGGCTGCCTCTTATGGAGTCCCTGTCTCTCTGTAGTGTAGCATTCACTCCACGTGGCTTCCCTAATTCTCACATTCTCTCTCTCTCTTCCTGGTGATTGGGATTGTATGGGATCCTAGTATTATACCAGGATTATTAGTCATCACTAACTTCCCTGTTAGGAGTGTCACATTCCTGGGAATAATGTGTGTATTGGGAGGAACTGGTAAACAGATTATACAAGACTGTAGCCAATTATGTGTCATTACTAGGACGACTGCGGTGATTATGGGAAGTAAACATGAGTATGAAACATTGACAGTTTCCCATTGTGCTAAACAGCGCTTTCTACATATCCACACAGAAAATTCATGGACGAATAGGTTGACTTTCTTCTCACACAAATAGACATTACTGGATGTTCGTTGGAACGAGGGAACACTATTAGTAAACTCTCTCATTTTCTCTCTGCATGCAGAGTGAGATACCCTCTAGCTGGTAGGATTGACTGTGGCTGGCTAGCTGAGGTCTGGATCAGCGACATCGGCCTGCCCCAACACTCCGACCTCATCACTACACACCTTGTGGACGGGAGGTAATGTTCCTATGATGTAATGATGGCATCATCAACATGGCGATGTGAATGCAGGGTGCTGGAATCGCTGACAAAGGACGATCTGAAGAAATATTTCAAATTTAAGAAATTTGAGGTGATGAGTTTCCTGAGTGGTGTGGAGCTCCTGCGGATGCATGACTACAACAGAGAGGTAACTGGGGGATCTACAAACTGTGCTAATGTCAACCACCAACAAATCTAGGACTAGCAACCCAAGTGCAATTTTCACATGTCTGAAATCTGACTACAGTTGATGGCACGTTCTGCTGTTAAAGTCTTGCCATTCACAAAACCATGCCAACTTCCCTCCACCACTGCCATATCCATACATAATTATTATTAGAAAGTGTTTCTATTGTAATGCTGCAGATGATAGAGGAGGTGAGAGCCAGCCAGCAGAGAAGGTCGTCTCCACAGAACCCTCTCTACTGGACTAATAGAGACGTGGGCGACTGGATACGAGATATTCAGCTAGTGGTACGAATGTATATACATCTCTCCTCCATTGGAACCATGTCTTGTCTGCCAGTAGATCATAGAATGATCTGGCTCTGTGTTACCTTGTCTCACATGACTTGGTATAGTGTGTGGCTACAGATATCTATAGAGTCTTTTGTGGATAATGGTCACTGCATAAAGACCATTTGTACTAACGATGACTTCTACAATCATGCTGTATAACACAGTCTTTTTGTCTCCATCCTCTCTCCTTTAACCCCTTCCCTCCCCTCTAGGACTATGCCACCAACCTACTCCAGACGGGAGTGCACGGTGCCATGCTGTTCCTGGAGAAAGACAAGTTCTCCTCAGACCAACTGGGACAGGTCCTCCAGCTGCCCAGCGGGAAACATGTTGCTAGGAAACACCTCGCACAACAGATGGCCCGCCTATTCCGCGACGAGGGAACCGAGTGAGTTGCCTAGCAACCTGAGATTTGCATTCCTCAGTTACAATGGTTCACCCCTCCCTCCACCTCCCCCCAGGAACCTCTACATGTCACAGCAAAATTCGATGATATCATTCCAGTCTAACATGGGAGGGAATTCCCCCCTCTCCCCGCCATTCTCGGGGTCTCTGTACCGTGCCGGTTCCTCGCCGTCTCTGAACCAGACCGGCTCTCCGACTGAAAGGCTGTCCCTGGAGGACAGGATCAGACACAGCCTCAGAGTACGACTGGATCTTGTCTCTTTCCATACTCTCTCCGCCCTCCCAGCTTGCACTCTATGTTCCATAATTTCAAGCCATAATGTTTGATTTCGTCACTTTTTCACAGGCAGATACTTTTGAATAATTATATCTGAAAACCGTGCACTTGTATACCACTTATTGTTTGATTTTCTCTCCCTCCCTCCGCCTACTGCAGGAATCAGCCCTTCGCTCAGTAATGTTGTCTCCACGCACACCATCCCCCTCCTCCTCCCCCACCTCCCAGTTCTCACACCCTCCCTCCCCTCACCTCCCCTCCGCACCCTCTCCCCTCACCCAAACCAAAGCTAGCAGCACCACTGTGTGATATTTCTTTATACCTCCAAAACCCACTCAATTGAATAACTATCAAATTATATTAGACCAATCATATTTTATTGCAGCCATATAATTGTATCACCTACTGGCTCATGTAATGTTTATCAAAACTGTATGATGAAAGCAATGCTGAAAAAGTTGTACCTGGCCTCAATCCTCGCGTGCTGTGATAATGTGCCTACAGTGTCCAGTGTGTCAGATAGGAATGCAGAGGAAAAATGTGCACTTGTGAAAGTACGTAGCAGAGTTAAAAAACATGGCAGAGAGCACATGCGCAGAAAAAAATGTGCACTTGTGCAGAAAAAAAGTAGCAGAGTTAAAAAAAACATGCGCATGCGCATGTGCAAGAAAACATGGCGGAGTGCGCATGCGCAGAAAAAGATGTGAAAAAATGTGCACTTGTGCAGAAACAAGTAGCAGAGGTAAAAAAACATGCGCATGTGCAAAAAAACATGGCAGTGTGCGCATGCGCAGAAAAAGATGTGAAAAAATGTGCACTTGTGCAGAAACAAGTAGCAGAGGTAAAAAACATGGCAGTGTGCGCATGCGCAGAAAAAGATGTGAAAAAATTTGCACTTGTGCAGAAAACAAGTAGCAGAGTTAAAAAACATGCGCATGCGCATGTGCAAGAAAACATGGCAGAGTGTGTGCATGCGCAGAAAAATATGTGAAAAATGTGCACTTGTGCAGAAACAAGTAGCAGAGTTTTAAAAAACATGCGCATGCGCATGTGCAAGAAAACATGGCAGAGTGTGCGCATGCGCAGAAAAAGACTCGTTCCGCTACTTCTGATGTATGCTAGACATTACAAGTACTTTTTGTAAAACATGCCATGCCTATTCTTGTTTGGCTTGCAGTGCATTAAAACTTTTGAACTTTTGAACCTTTGTGAAACAATGTGCGAGTAGCAGAGTTAAAAAAACATGCACATGTGCAAAGAACATGGCAGAGTGTGCGCATGCGCAGAAAAAGATGTGAAAAATGCGCATGTGCAAGAAAACATGGCAGTGTGCGCATGCGCAGAAAAAGATGTTAAGAAATGTGCACTTGTGCAGAAACAAGTAGCAGAGTTAAAAAACATGCGCATGCGTATGTGCAAGAAAACATGGCAGAGTGTGCGCATGCGCAGAAAAAGATGTGAAAAATGTGCACACCCTCAGCTAGAGTACATTACTATTCCATACTTCAATTGTAGTGAAAGTAGTAATGATAGTTGGTTTGTCTCTTATTACGCTCATGTGCCTACAATAAATGCAAAATTATTGACACCCTCAGCTAGGGGAGCAACGAAATTTGGACGAGATAGGAATGGGTGCAGCGAGTAAAAGTATGTTACTATTCCATACTCAAACTGTAGTCAAAGTAGTAATAATAGTTGGTTTGTCTCTTATTACGTTCATGTGCCTACAACAAATGCAAAATTGTTGACACCCTCAGCTAGGGGAGCAACGAAATTTGAATTTGATAGGAATGGGTTCAGCGACAAAAAGTACATTACTATTCCATACTTCAATTGTAGTGAAAGTAGTAATGATAGTTGGTTTGTCTCTTATTACGCTCATGTGCCTACAACAAATGCAAAATTGTTGACACCCTCAGCTAGGGGAGCAACGAAATTTGGACGAGATAGGAATGGGTGCAGCGAGTAAAAGTATGTTACTATTCCATACTCAAACTGTAGTCAAAGTAGTAATAATAGTTGGTTTGTCTCTTATTACGTTCATGTGCCTACAACAAATGCAAAATTGTTGACACCCTCAGCTAGGGGAGCAACGAAATTTGGACGAGATAGGAATGGTTGCGTCAGTGGTAGATTTGTGGGTAAGGGGAGGAACCAGAGCTGTTCCCAGCCAATGCTCTGGACCACCGTCAACTTTAGTGCGGGATCGGGATACGAACCGGGCACCTGTGTCAGTCCCCATGACTCTAACCACCTAGCCACTCGGGCTGGCCTTGAGCGGTGATAAAAAAAACGTTCCAGATATACCAACACTCCTATTACATCATTGTAAAAAAGGCGTACACACCCGGGATCGAACCAGGGACCTCACGATCAAGAGAGGGGGTGCTAAAGTGCAAACCCTCGGCGAAGTAGCTCGCAGAGAGTCTGACACGGGCTAGCACGCGAGAGTCGACACACGCCATTCGTTGTGACTTCTTGTGCCTTCAAGATAGACAGAGCATGCAAGCGGACCAGGTCGAGGTGCCTAGCTACTGGCCGACTTCACCACAAAAACAACGCAAAACGACCTCTGAACCGAGCCACTAATATGCATTCGCATGCGCACGTGGGTAGTCTTAGCTTGTACGTCAGGTTTGTAATCTTCCTGTGTTTACTCTGTAATCTTACTGTAGGCTAGTAATCTTTACTTCGTACATTTACTTTAGAGCTAGTAATCTTCCTCGTAATCTTACGAAGGTAACCGTGCGCATGCGCAGTATGAAGAGCTACACTTGGGCATGCGCAATCGAGCACATGTGCGCATGCTCATTAAGAACCATGTGCGTATGCGCAATATGTATTGTGTGCGCATGCTGGGTGATCCACACGTGAGCATGCGCAGTGAGCACGCAGCATGAGCACGCGAGCGCATGCGCAGTGAGCACCGCGAGCGCATGCGCAGTGAGCAACGTCATTGAGACTATATAGACTGCAGGTCATGGCAAGGAGAGGTCAGACCTCTTACAATGGCATCACGGACTGAGCTGTGAAACGTACAATGGCTTCGCAGACTGTGCTGTAAACTGATGAGGATGGAGGGCCCCAGGGCATTTTGGAAGGGCGCTGTAGGTGAGTGACATCTTCAAGACAGTTGGTGATCTAGTTTGACTGTCTGCAGCTCGAGTGTTGCCTCAGTTTGGAGTCACCTTGTTGACATATGAACTTCTCATGTGCCTACAAATTGTTGACACCCTCAGCTAGGGGAGCAACGAAATTTGGACGAGATAGGAATGGTTGCAGCGAGAAAAAGTCTGTTACTATTCCATACTCAAACTGTAGTCAAAGTAGTAATAATAGTTGGTTTGTCTCTTATTACGCTCATGTGCCTAGAATAAATGCAAAATTGTTGACACCCTCAGCTAGGGGAGCAACGAAATTTGGACGAGATAGGAATGGGTGCAGCGAGTAAAAGTATGTTACTATTCCATACTCCAACTGTAGTGAAAGTAGTAATGATAGTTGGTTTGTCTCTTATTACGTTCATGTGCCTACAACAAATGCAAAATTGTTGACACCCTCAGCTAGGGGAGCAACGAAATTTGGACGAGATAGGAATGGGTGCAGCGAGTAAAAGTATGTTACTATTCCATACTTCAATTGTAGTGAAAGTAGTAAGGATAGTTGGTTTGTCTCTTATTATTTTGCATTTGTTGTAGGCACATGAGCGTAATAAGAGGCAAATCAACTATCCTTACTACTCTCA